ACTTTAATATCATCATCAGAGATAATATATCCAAGGAAAGTAAAACTAGGAGTCATAAAAGAGCACTTTTTCAAGTTGATGTATAAGCATTGTTCTCCTAAAGTTTGAAGGGCGTGTCTCACATGTCTAAGATGGTGGGACAAGTGCTATAAATCAGGATGTCATCAAAGTAAACCACAACAAATTTTCTAATAAAATGACGGAGGATATGATTCATGGTTCGCATAAATGTGCTAGGAGCATTTGATAGGCCAAAGGGTATGACAAGCCATTAGTAGAGTCCTTTCATTGTTTTGTGCATGAGAGTTGCTTAGATTTAGGGCATCCATATTATTATCCATTGTTTCCATTTGTTGTTGGTTAGCCATTTGTGGCATAATCATTTGTTGTCATTCCACTTCTTGAATGTTTTGATTATTCTTTTTTTTAAGGGAAAGAAAGACTCTCACTACAACCTAGGCTCTGATACCAAATTGATGAAATATAAGTTTTTAAAACCAAGTAGGAGAACATTATGATTACAACAGGACACTTCCCTTCAATAAACATAAACCAATAACAACAGAAAAAAACTTAATAGAAAACAAAATTACTATGAAACTTTGCAAGAAACAAACTAAAACACAAACTTCTCTCAGAACAACCTAGAAAGTCACCTCATATGAAAATCTAAAAATTAAAGAATAGTGCTCAAAATAAAAATCAAACCAAAGGTTCGCCACATAAATCTTGATCCAACACCGGTCGGCAATCCTCCGGCAAATACCAACAAACCGGCTCAGCAGCACACCACACTCTCAATATTTGGAGAAGGATACAAGTGGAAAGGAAACCGTGGAGAGATGAAATAGATAAAAAACTAGAAAAAGAAATAGGAGAAGGAAGAAAATAGCTCTCAAGCTAGGAAGATAACCCTCATATTTAGAATAGATTTCAGCTAACAATAACCACTTTTCCATCAGCAAAAAGCCCCACTTATAGGAGAAAATAAACCCAACCGCCCACATAAATGTGCCACCCCAAGCAAACAATAGGAGCCAATAATATGAGCCAAACCCAATAAGAAAATAACAGTCCAATATTAAATGCCCACTTAGACAATAAGGAAGCAAGTAAACAAATTCATCATGAGTGGAGAACCAAAGGAGAGAAATTACCAAAGTGAACAAAATCTAAGCATGATCATGGTTTGATTTCCATCATATGGCATATATAAAAAAACATAGTCCAAAATTACATAACATTCAAAGCATAAGAAATAAAATACAAAATATAAAATGATAATTATTGATTGTATCATTGAGGCAGGGCTCCTGACTTGGGGTGGAAATATTTGTCCACCCAATCGCTCTAAGTTGAGCATTAGATTTTATCCTGACCTTCCTTGACAATTTAACACTGGAGGTGGAAGCTTCAGCATTGTGTCTCTTAGGAACAAAACTAATCTTCTCAGGAATCTCTCCTTCATTCCTCTTCTAATTGGTCAGATCAATAACAATTGACTTCAGTTTAGGGTCAAGAGAATTTCCCTTGGCCAATGTCCCACCCAGTATTGGGCTTCTCATAATGAACAATAGATTTGTCCACGTTCTAGCTAGCAGAGTCAACATTAATTGGCTTTGGTCTAGGCTTAAAAGCCTTTTTCTTGGCCAAGGGAATTGCAAGAGGTTCAACCGACTGTCTTGAAAACACAGAAGATCGATAGGCAATGGCATTCTTAGTTGTTATCTTCCTAGTTGATACAACTTCACTAGGAATGAACTCGAACACTTCAGAAATAGTTCCTAATTGTAACGTGGTACCAGCACGGCCATTATAGATGACAATTTGGGAGAACTGGACTCTTGCTCCTTCCCAAAGTTAAATAGTCATCATGCTTTTGACAGACGACATTTCAGTAACCTACAATAGAACTTACATGGATTAGAGACAACCTAATATTTTTTTGGACAAAAATATATATATACATTTCATCCAGAGATGGAGATAAAAGTAATCCCCAGCGGAGTCGTCAGAAATCTATTCGCTTAAGAATAATTAAGCGTGAATCTTGCTCTCGCAAGCTGAAGGTTCCAATTTTCTTGAGGTTGATTGGATTTTAAATTAATCAAATTTCCTTTGAGAGTAATGACAAGGTTTATTTAGATCTGGTTTTTATATCCTATGAGCGCAAGCCCTCATAATTAATTATCCCTCCTAACACATTAGAAGTACACTCTCGATTAAGGATGAAATATATTTAGTCTGTGCAAGGAGTGTGAAAATGTGCAACAATATTTTAATCTTAGTTATAGGGGATAAAGGTATACCCGGTCAAGATCTCATGGTTTCGTTGTCCCGGATATATCATGGGTTTCAGTCTACCAACACTAACAACCATTGATTGTAGTGTCCAAGGAATCTGATTTGGCATTCATGGGTTGCTTCTTCTCAAGGATCCCGAGTAAATTGAAATAGGGAAATATGAATTTTAATTTTGTTTGGTTTGTGTTGGAGCTTATGGCTCTGCTTAAGAGTTGCCCGTGTGATTGGATTTGGGTAGGGGGCTTACGGATTTTCTTTAAAAGTAGTCCTAATAATAGTTCTTACGAGCTCTATTAGAGGTAGCTCAAATAGTGAATCTTACAACTTAGTCCTATTGACTAAGATGCCCATGGGAGATTTGGACATTTAGGCTTATAGATTCAGAAGTTGTTTGATGATTGGTCTTACGACCAAGACCTGTAAGCTAAGTGGCATATATAATAGGTCTTACAACATAGCCATAAACTAGGATGCCCGTATGAGGGGTCGAAGCTTATGTTATCACCTAAACATTTATATCAGAAGTCGGACTTACTGCTTTCATTGAAAGTTGTTAGAGTGTTAATCAGGGATTAAGGGTCAGGTCATTTTGGCCTAAAGATATCCCCTAAAGTCGAACTTAAAACTTTCATTAAAAGTTGTTGGAGTGTTAATCAAGGATTAGGGGTTAAGTCATTTTTGCCTAAAAATTTCCCCTAAAGTCATCTTACGACTTTCATTGAAAGTTGTCAGGTTAGGGGTTTAGGGTTCTACACAATTTAGAGTTTTGACACCATCATCAATGTCTTATTGTTTTATGCTTGTAATTTTTTCTACAACAGTAGTTTGCCACTCTAATTTAGCAATTTTGTTTGTTTTTTATTAGTTTTTCAGTACTTTGTTCTACCTGTATTAACTAGATTTACTCTTTTCAACGTTAACTTTATTTATGATGGGTTGACTTTTATCTATTTGTTTGCAGGTGCTCGTATATAGATAGAATAAAAATGATCTACATATGATATTTATAGATTTAGAGAAAGTATATAATAAAGTTCCAAGAGAAATGTTATGGAGAGTTCTAGAAAAGAAATGAGTTAAAACTGCTTATATTAAAATCATAAAGAATATCTATGCAAAAGTTGTTACTTATGTTCAAACACAAGGGGATTTGACAAAGAATTTTCCTATTTTAGTTGAATTACATAAAGGATCAACTTTAAGCCCATATCATTTTGCTTTAGTCATGGACGTTCTTATTATACATTTGCAAGAGGATGTACCCTAGTGTACGCTTTACTGATGATATTTTTCCTATTGATAAGACTAGAGAGAGAGTTGAAGCTAAACTTGAATTATAGAGGTCAACCATAGAGTCTAAAGGATTTCGTTTGAGTAGATCTAAAACCGAATACATGAACTATATTTTTAGTAATAATAAATCTAGTGAAGGGATTGTGACTTTGGGAGATCATGTCATTAATAAGAGTACATGTTTTAGATATCTTAGATCAATTTTTTATAATGATGATGAAATAAATGGGGATATTATTAGTAGAATTCAAATTGGATAGTTAAAATGGAGGAATGCCTCAGGACTGTTGTGTGATAGAAAAGTACCTCTCAAATTTTAAGGAAAATTTTTATAAGATAGTGGTGAGACTTGCAATACTTTATGGCGCAAAATGTTGGCCATTAAAAGATAAGCATAAAATTAAGTTAAGTATTACAGAGATGAGGATGCTTAGGTGGATAAGTGGTTTTACTATTAGAAATATAATATGAAACGAGTATATACATGAAAAGATTGGAGTTGCTCCAGTAGCAGATAAGATTAGAGAGAGTAACCTTATATGGTTTGGTCACATAAAACATCTGCCTTCCAATGACCCGGTTAGGAAAGTAGAAGTAATAGATTTGGCTTAAGTTAAGAAAGGTAGAGAAAGATCTAAAAATGACATTTTTATTATATTTAAATGAGAATTTGACTCTTAACATGGCACAATGGAGAAAAAATATTCATGCAGCCGACACCATATGGTGGGATAAAGGCTTGATGTTGCCAAATACCCAAAAAAATGGTAGCTACTCTAGTTAAATGCTTCAAGGAAATAAGTAATAGGCAAGCAATCAACAACAAAATATCCTAACCAGCCAAAATTGAGCAAGTTTCCTACCAAAAGTTGAGAGAGTTAAGCAGCGCTTATGGTAACTTAAGTCATTATTTCTAAAACGAATATAAAAGTTGAAAACTGAAATTATCATTGTTTTTTCTTGAGTCTAGATTTCGAATCTTCTCGTATCCCTTTCACTCCGCAAAAAAATTAAGGCATCAGCTCCAAACTAGAGCGTGCACTTGTCCTATAAAAAAAAGGGAATTAAAAAGTTGAAAATTAGGAATTTCTAACATCGCAATCAAATCAACTCTTTTATTTGAACGTCAGACGGGTAATTGGCAACATTAGTAGAGACAAATACTCACTGATCTGCCCAATCCTTAGAGCTTTATCCATGTTTAAGGAATTAATAGGATAAATAGTAACATTTAAAGATGTGATCTATCATACTTCAGTTAAGCATAATATCCATTGATCTATCACACTTCAGTTAAGCATAATATCCATTCGATCAAAATTATCGAAAAAAAAATACTTAAAAAAATGCTTAACGTTAGGAATAGTTAAATCTGGACTGAATCACTGATCAAATCATATTACCTGCTGCTGTTTCGCCACTTGCTCCCGTAGCTTGCTTGCCTGCTTCCGTATAGCCTCCATAAGCTCTCTCTCTCTCTCTCTCTCTCTCTCTCTCTCTCTCTCTCTCTCTCTCTCTCTCTGGAAAGCTCAATGCAAAAAGGAGCAGTTACAACAATCCGAACCTAGTCAAATCCGAAGCTATTCGGGCCACTCAGTTCAACTTGCTAATTAAACCCTAAGAGCTGGATATGTTCTAGCTGCGATGTTTCTGGTGTTGCTGTGAAAAAGCTGAAGCCTTGAAAGAGTGGGGTTTGGAAATAGAAATCGTCAAGAGATAGTACAGCGTGGAAGAGCGGGGAAGCGACCGTCCGGCGCACATGCGGCACTGGGACGCAATTACGCACCTGCAGATGTTATTTCGGAAAGTAGATGGCAGTGGAGCCAAAACAATAAATATAATATTAAAAGGATCTTTCCTGCGAAGAGAAAGTTTTTAAACAAATATAAAAGTTCTAAAAAATCGATATGACGTCAAATCGACAGAATTTTTTTTTTTTTTTTTTTTTTTTTTTTGATGGAAGCCTCTATATTCATAGCCAGTATATTAAAAAAAATATTACAAAAAAATAGGCAAAAAAAAATCGAAACTCTAAGCTCAATTTACTATGAGAGCTGAGTTAAAAAGAACTAAAAATGAACAACAAAAAACAAACCCACAAAAAAGCAGACAGTGGGAACCTATGGGCTCAGGTAATGTCGGAACCAACCAAATCGAGTATAGAAAAACCTGATGAATAATAGCGACTGAACTTGGAGTTACCCCTGGTTGCCATCATATCAAAAAGGAACAAAGTTCCGCAGGGTGCATATAGATGATAGGTCAATTGCAGAACAGTAAGAATGTTGCGTCGAGTCCATATAGGGGGGAAGGGAAGCAACTGGTCGGTTCCACTTATCATAGGCCAGAAACAACAAAATTCTAGCCAACTGTTACTAATGTAAATTGTTGTTGAGGCGCATGGGAAAAGAAGATAATAACAAATCATAATTTTTCCATTGAGAGACCTTTGCTCGGACTGCCATACTGATTTTGCAACAAATCGAAAAGGTAACTTTTGTATTCCAGCGTAGCGTCTATCATTCCTTTCCCTCTAGAGAAAATAATCCTAGCAGCAAATAGCTAAAAAATAGAAATTCTTTTGTAGTGCGTTAAAATGCTGCACATCATCAAAAAATTCAAAGAGCTACAACATTGAAGGCCTGAAGAGGAAACCATCCAAGTGTAGCAGAAGGCTAGACAAAATCTTAAAAGAGAAATCACACTGAAACAAAAAAGGTGTGTAGTGCTTTCAATCTTCAAAAGGAAAAGAGAACAAGTGGGATGAATGTGATTGTTTCTGTTGCTTAACACATCTGCAGTTTTTAACCCACCACAAGCTGCCAACCAAGCGAAAGCAGAATACCTAAGGGCAGCTTTTTAATGCCAAATGTATTTGTGCCAGGGTGCTTGAGATAAATCATAAAAATAATGCAATCTAAAGGTTTTGAAACAAGGCTTATCATTCACATTCCAGAAAATGATATCAGCAAGGCAATCTAGAATAATAACAAAAGATAGTTTATGGATAACATGATGGGGCAAAAAATTCTTAAGTTTCCAACGACCTTGGTATATAAAGTCATGCACAGCAACAAAGCCAGGAGGAGGTTGATAAAGGAAGTCTGAAACCGCCAAACCATTTACCCAAGGGTCTCAGTACATATAAAGCTTGTTATTTTCAGCGGCCACATGGAGCTTAATATTGTGATTAATAAGTACAGCAGTGCTACAAATAAATTTTCAAAATTTGGAAGCTTTAGGAGGGGATTTCCAGCATGAGACGAATTTGGATCTCAGCCAATCAACCACTAAGGAGTCTAAATTAAACATTCGCCATATGAAGGTGCATCCATAATTATGATAAAGGGAACGTATGCCAGGGATCCCCAACCCACCAAGCCTAGTTGGCTAGCAGGTATCACTCCAAGCAATAAGATGGAGTTTCCTTTCAGAAGAGGTTCCATGGAAGAGGAACCTTGAGCAAAGTTTGTTTATGATTTTGCAGCATAGCGTAGGTAATATGGCCCCTCTAATCAAGTATGCCAAGGTATTGGCAATAGTAAACTTAAGGAATTGGATTCTTCCTACAAAAGACAAAAATTTAACTTTCCACCCATCAAGTAAAGTAGGAAACCTACTCAGTAGTGGGAAGAAGTGAGCTTTTTGGGGGATATAAGAAGTACGAAATATTTTAGAGATTGGTCGACAAGGGAGAAACTAAGAATTTAATTAATATTGTTGGCTAACAGAGAATTCTTGTTGAAAATAATAGAACATTTAGCTTTGTTGATATGAAGCCCATAAGAATCAGCGAAGGTGTTAAGCACCTAAATTAAGCCATAAGTATTACTTAAGGAAGATTGGCCAAACACCAAAATGTTGCAGTCCATGACCCTTACTCTAAGATTTTGATGATGACAAGTAATGTCGAATAAATTATTATTCATTGAATATTTTTTAGTTTTGCTCTTGTCTATGAGTACTAATATTTCAGAGAGATCATGAATTACTCAGGACAACAAGAAGCCTTAAGACTGGGTAGAGTAGGATTTGGAGTTTATAACCCTGTAATTTTTCTTTTATTATTATTTTTGTTTTCTTGAGTCTGGCCACAAATTGTATGCAAAACTATGCAACATGTACACACACAGGGAGAGAGGTTTTTAAAAATGAAGAAAATTTTTTCTCTAATAATCATACTATGTGAGTTTCAATCGTATTATACGATTTGCTCTAGCTCAACAGCTACTTGTGAACAAATCATACTATACAATACATATCGTATTGTACGATGTGTTTCTAATTAAAAACCCTAGCTGTCAGATTAATTTAAGCAAGTTCTTAATTCATAAATTTTGAACTAATCGTACAGTACGATCCTATCATACAATACAAGTTTTTGAATACTTACTTAAATTAACCCTATGATTAGCAAATCAAATTAATGATTAATTATTGATTGGTAATCATACTATATGATATGGTTCATACAGTACAAGGTACTAAGGCTATTTATATTCATCCCGAACATCATATCAGACGATCCTTTATTTTTTGTACTAATCATACTAGACGATGTTCAAATCATACCTGATGATATGAAGCTTTTAGCATATCATACTATATGAAGTCGATCGAACCAGATGTGGACCTCCGAAAAGAGCACCGCGCGAACGGGTCGATTGGAAGGGCAGATTGGATCGTGCATACGACTAACCATTGAGGATAGGGGCTGTCGCCAACACACCCCGATGGGTAGCAATATACACGACCTAGTCACGGGTTTCCCCCATCAGACGCAAAAGCTCGAATGGGGTTTAGTAGATGTGGGACCAAGTTTCACATGGGCACAAGCCCCCGTGGTTAATTACATCCCAGGCCGAAGCCTGAGAAAACTCTCGATTAAGGATTATATATTATCCTCTCCTAAAGTGGGATCGGCACAAGGGTATATACTAGGAAATTCTACTCAAAGGGAAGAAAGGTCCAAAAGGCTGAATCAACATGCGTGGCTCATACCAGCATTCGGAGGCTCTAGGGTACTAAACAGAAACTGGAGAAAGGAAAATCAGGCAATCAGTCACATGCGTGAGAGAAAGATGGAGGTGGCGTCATCCTGTGACGCAGATAAGTAGGATTTAGGATCCCTGAAAAGAAGAGACCTACCTACTATTTAAGGCATACTATAAGATCGAATGTAGTTGTCTCGAATCCTAAATCTAGTTTGGACTTAGTATTCGACACACACTAAGACCAGTGTCCTAGCTAATGCGATGCAAAGATCTGGACTTATCCTGGCCTGGATGGGGGAGCCAGCTAACCACCTAGTCGCTTTAAAACCATGATATCCAGTCAGTTATGAAAGATGGGTGGGTGGTACGGTTATTAAAAATAGGACCGACATCTAGAGAATTTCCTAAGTGGCCCTGGACCTATGTGGGTTAGATGCTCCTAGCTAATGCAATTAAATTTTAATTAGTTTGTTACTAATGCAATGCATGCTAGTTGAATTGTCAGCTCATGAATGCTATAGAACTATAAAAACATGCTTATAAAAAATAATTTTTTTTAAAAGACTGGGTCTCCCTAGGTCCGGCACTTCATCCTCATAGGCCAGATTATCCGGACTCAACCCGCAGGCAGGGAGATGTCTTATAACAAGGCAAGAATGATGCAGTAATATGCATGCGACCCCGGACGATTCTGGCAATTCCCTAGGTTCGTTAAGTTTCTATATTATTTAGAACTTAAAATTTTAGAAGTTAGTTATGAGTAGAAAATTTTGTGGTCCTTAAAGAGCCTAACGGAAATCCAAGCGAAAATAAAAGCGACATGCAAGAAACAAACCTAGAAAAAGCAGGCAATTTCTACTGCGCAATCAGGAAAACACATCAATATAAATCCCAAAATAAATCATCTAAATGTCCATAGGCAAACTGCCCTTATTACAACCAGAATTTGCAGAAAGTAAAGTGGCCGGGCACCACTGCCAACAACCCGGATTTCTAAGCCTATGACAGACGCAAATGACTTTGAGTGGGATATTGGTCTTCAGTCTTTTTTGGATCACTCCTCCTTGGACTCCTTGGAACTCTCCTCCTTGGACTCCTTGGCTTGAATATCCAAACAAAGAGACAATCATCCCTTAGTAGGGGGCATTATTGTCTTTTCTCTTTGGATATCTAAAGCCATCCACTCGATCTCCCGAATGGAAGAAGACTCTCCCCTATGAGGATGCCTTCTTCTTTTGGGATTCAAGTGGGATAAGAATATCCACACTCAAAGTTCATTTTCACAACTCTTCATACAACAACAACAACAACAACAACATCATCAAGCCTTTATCCCACTACGTGGGGTCGGCTACATGAATCTTTTTTCTCCATTGTGTCCTATTAAAAGCCAAATTCTCGTTTAAATCTAATAAAGAAAGGTCATTCCTAATATTTTCTAACCAAGTTTTTTTAGGTCTACCCCTACCTTTCTTAACACAAGTCAAATCTAATACCTCTACTCTCCTAACTGGGTCGTCGGAAGGCCGCCTTTTTATGTGACCAAACCATCTAAGCTTTTGGCTTTTCGATCTTTGAAAATGATACTACAAGAATGGATGATGGAAGTCAAAGGGATTATAATTGAGGGAGACAATTACAATGTTGTCAAGTATCTGCAAGGTTCGGTTGATAAAGCATTTGGAAAAATGGATAATGACATGGCGGAAGACTTATCTTTTTTGAAAGATTTTGAGAATTTTTTATTTCATTTTTCTCATAGAAAATGTAATAAGTTAGCCGATTTTTGTGCTAACTTTGCTTTACTTGGTGATTTTTTTTGGATGATCTAAGTTTTAAT